TGTTAATTCCATCAGTTGTAACACGTGCCTACCTGAACAAGTCTATTCCACATCGTCGCCGAATCTGGTAGAAATACTTAATGAAAAAGTATTTCGCCTTCACATCCGTGCAACTTCTGGACACTGCTAAAATTACACTTGCGAACAAGCGCAAAGGAATGTTCCCAGCAGACTTGCAATTATGTGGATCCAGTACAGCTGGGGCATGGCGACCTGATCCCAACAGACAGCAATACCTTGATCCTATATCTCAAGAGCGTTGAGATGAAGCTTCTTTACTTTTTTTCTAGGGCTTGTGAAGTCAGTCCTATTATTTTGTACTCTAAAATTACTTTTCCTTGGCTATAGAATTTTACCAACTTATCGATGGATTAACGTAGACGTTCGGGCTAGTTGGTGTGCAGTCATAATTAAAACAAAACAGCGCAAATACGGGGACAAAAAAGGGACAGGGCACCTTGTCCTGTCAATTACCTTACTTCGTCGTCGTCTTTGCGCTGTTTTGTTTTAATTATGAAACTTATGAAGGTCATTGATTATTTTCTTCAGACATGAAATTGAGAATGTTTGAAGTGCATCGGGCAAAGCCAATGCGAACCCTTATCTGCACCTTAACTACCTTCCAAAGTTGATTGTTTTACAACAACTTGCCAGCCTACAGAGGGGCTTGGAGATTTTTCGTATTTTCCACCGCACACATTTTAGTACCGGTAGTCCCAAAATAAACCAAAAGTCTAGCTTTCTCACAATGTGAAATTGAGGTGACAAAAAATATTGTTTAGCGTAATTATTTTTATGCTGCCACTGCGTCACTCCTACACACTCACTAGAAGGCTCTTACCTTCTAAGAAGCACTTAGCTTTCAAATCAAATACTGATTCTACGCTGCATGCAAGAAATATGAGTGTTTCATGGGCTTGAGCAATAAAACCAACCTCCTTTTGCTTGCATTTCTGCCTTTAGGTTGTTGAAGTTGCAGTAGAAAACACCTAAATGCTGAAATTCCGGATGTCTTTATGTTAGAGGCTCATAGAAAATCTGAATGCATACCCTATGAAATGTCAATGGACAGGATTGCAGTGATGCAAGCAGCATTTGAGCTTTTGTAGCAGGTTTCGTAGCAGGCAAAATATTGGTTTGAAGTAGCCACTGGTGATTTCGGAGCAGATGGCAACATTTGTTAGCACAACACTTGAAAATTAAGTGATTGCAGCACTAACTGAGTTCATGTTTTATAATGCTTGAGAGTTCCTCTTTAGTACTGGAGTATATCGCCTGCTTCTTCCGCAGGAGTTGTGGTGACGTCAGAACGACACCGAGCTCTGATTGGCTTTTGAGTGGAAGGATAGATAGTGGGTAGACCTCAATGCTAAATGCCTTGAGGTTTACCCACTATTTTTTAATCAGCCAATAAGAGCTTGGCGTTAAGACAACATCGCAACCTCTGTGCAGGAAGCAGGCGAACTTGCGCTCTGCCTTACTTATTACCTTTTTTGTAATGAAAATGAAAAAAAATAGGGCACGAAAGGAACACATAGCCCTCTTATTACAAATAAGGATCTGGTCAGGGTAGGTTCTGTTGAATATACAAAGTAGACGAGGGCAACGGGCAGCACGAGCTCGTGAGCTCAGGACACTAAACGAGTGCAGCTCGACGATAAACGGATGCTGGCGTCAAGGAGCGGTCTTAGTCTTTCTTTCATCACAGGCTCCATTTGCAATGGGTACTAAAAAGTTGCTGAGAATTAATCATAACTCACTTCAGTTGTAATAAAGCATCTCTGCCCTCCCACTTTTACACCCGATAATTTATCCTGTGAACATAATTTATGTAAAAGGCCAGTACAAACCTGCACATTCGCTAAAATGTCTATCAATAAAAATACATCCCCCAAGTCGTATGAACCTACCAAACTCAGGACCCCAATTGCAAAAACAACCAACCACACGTATTATGAAAACCTATGCTCGTGTTTTAGACGTGACACTGTTCTTTAGCGGTGTTGGAAACAGTGTGGAGTCAGATATCGCTGCTCCTTTGACTGACAGCTGCACGGGAGCAACTTTGAAGTCCGTATTTATTTAAGCATAAACCCGGGTGTTTTTTTTTTTCTTTACACAGTTATTTTTATGTTCTTTTTTTTTTTTTTAGAGATCAACCTAACATTAACACTAAAGAAGGAAAACCTGTAATATTACAGAGCATAATTTCCGAGTCTATCGTGCTAACCCAGGAGCTCCTCCGTGCCAGCCACTGCTCCTAGCACTCCGCTGAAAAGCGGTGAAGTTCGACGCACATGCGCTTGCGAGAGGCGGTGAGGCGGCACTGAGGCATGTGGAGGACATGACAATCAAGTAATCTCATCAGGAGTACAAGAACCTAGTTCTGTCTTATCACAGTAGTCGCCATTCTACTATTATGCAATGTTTTATTGTGACTTTTAGCTCCCGACATCGCCGACATCGCATAGAAATTTAGACGATGTCGGCGATTAACCTGCCAGTGCATGAACCGACCGGTGCGGTGGACAAGCAATCTGTATGCTTCAATTCATCTTAATTCAAAGTGCAGCCAATGCTACGTGCCAATGGGACCAACCAAACAGCGTCAAAGCGCGGCATCGACATATCTATTTATTTATTTATTATTTATTCATTTATTTCAAAATACTGCCAATCCCTGAAGGGATTATTGCAGGCATTGGTACATAATAAGAAGATACATGTGAGGCACTTAACAACGAATGAACAACACTTCTCGTCATTCAAAACATCCAATAATTACGAAAAAAGTTCATCTTCGACTGCATTGATAAATGATTCAACAGTGCCGAGGCTATTCCAGATTCTAATGGCAGAGGGAAAAAATGAGTGTTTAAAAGTGTTATTATAAAACGAATAGTCAACAAGTGTATGGCTGTGCTTGTGTCTAGTCGGTCTTGTGTTAGACAATTCAACGTACTTGGATGAGTCAATCTTAAAGGCGCCTAGTAAAAGAAGGTAGAGAAATTTTAGACGATTTAATGTTGCGCGGTCAGTAATGGTCTGTAAACCTGCTCTTTTCAGAAGCTCTGTGGGGGAGTCAAAACGACCATACTTATGATAAACAAACCTAATTGCCTTTCTCTGAAGGCTTTCAAGTGTGTTTATGTTTATATTCGTGTGAGGGAACCAAGCAATATTTGCGTATTCAAGCACTGGACGTATATGGGTTTTATATGCTAGGAGTTTTGTTTCACAAGACGAACATTTTAAGGTTCTCTTCAGAAGGAATAATTTCGTGAGAGCTTTATTAAATACATATTTAACGTGTGCGTTCCAGTTAAGATCAGATGTTATCAAGACTCCTAGGTACTTATACTCGGTGACTCTATGCAAGGGTTCATCTTTAAGGCTATATTGAAACTGGGAGACATTCTTTTTCTTTCTCGTGAAACTCATGGAGACTGTTTTTTCTTTGTTAAACACCATTGGCCAGTCATCGCACCAGTCGGAAATCTTTTTAAGAGATTTGTTTAGTAGGATGTGATCGTCTTGGTTCTTAATTTCTTGATATATGATACAATCGTCAGCGAATAATCTTATGTTAACATCAATGCCATCGGCTATGTCATTTATGAAAAGAAGAAATAAAAATGGAGCTAAAACGGAACCTTGTGGGACGCCTGATACTACAGCAACTGGTCGCGTACTTTGTCCCTCGTGATAAACAAATTGGAAACGATTTTTTTAGTCTTCAATCCATGCAATTATCGGTCCTTCGCCCATAACATGTTTAAGTTTTATTATCAGTTTGTCGTGGGAAACGCGATCAAACGCATTTGAGAGATCCAAGAACACTGCATCTACCTGACTTCTGTTGTTTATGCCCATCGTGAAATCGTGAAGAATCTCAATTAGCTGTGTAACGGTCAATAGTCCACTTCTAAAACCATGCTGATGTGGGAATAGGATATTGTTATTTTCTGCAAATGATGTCATGACTTTGAGAATAATATGCTCGAGAAGTTTGCAGCAGGTGCAAGTAAGTGATATGGGCCTAAAATTTGAGGCTAGAGTCTTATCACCAGATTTATGTATAGGGATTACTTTCGCAACTTTCCATTCGGCGGGTACCGAAGAAAGGAAGAGAGACTTGTTAAAAATTAACACTAAATACTTGCTAATTCATTCGGTGTGTCTTTTACGATACATATTCTGAAGTTCGTCCGGACCGTTACCTTTTTTGGTGTCTAAATTGAGTAAAAGTGCAAATATGCCTGGTTCCGTAACTACTAGGCTTCCAAGTTCTTCAGCAGTGTTGCATTGCGGTAAAGTTAAACCGTCATTACCATCATCAGCTGTAAATACCGACTTAAAGTAATTGTTAAATTCATCTCCCATTTTTTGTTTCTCTATGGAGCTCATACAATTCATTTGAGACTTTTTTGGGTTAACGTGGTTCCAAAATTTCCGAGGTGACGTTTTCATGAACTCGTGAGGGTCACGTTATAGTACTTATGTTTGGCTTCTTTAATTTTTAATTTAAGAAGTTTAGAGTGCTCTGAAATCTTTGCTTTGTAGTCGGTGTTATCCTGGGTGGAGTGTATTTTAGATGACTTCCTTAGCCGCTTGAGTTTGCGTTTCAGGTGGATAATTTCTCGCGTGATCCATGGGTTGTGCTTTCTTGTTATTTTTTGTTTTTTTGGGATGAACTGTGTAACACAGTGCGTGATAATTGATTTAAACTCGTTCCACATGTCGTCAATACTGACATCTATCTCGTCACAAAGTTCACGGAAATCATAAAATCTATGAGCAAGGTATGTTAATATACACGCGTCATCGGCACTGTTGAAATCAAGTACAGTTTTGATGGTACCATATGAGAACCTAGATGTTCGTATAGGTATGGTGCATATAACTGCTTTATGGTCGGATATGCCCGTTACTACTTCAACATTGACTTGGCTCTGGGGCAAGTCGTCACTAAGAAATACAAGGTCAAGCAGACTGCTGGACGTTCCCTGCACCCGTGTTGGCTCTCTGACGATTTGTGACAGATTAAACGCAAATAAAATGTCTAATATTGCATCAGAGGTAACAGTGCCAAGTTGCAGCGAATCCCAGTTTACCTCAGGTATATTAAAATCGCCAGCCATAATAATCCTTTGATTTTTAATGTGTTGTTGCATGTAATCGTATAAGTTGTACAGACACTTGTGGTCGGAGTTTGGAGGCCGATAAACGACACCTACAACAACAGAATAATAATCGAATGACACTTTGCACCATAAAGATTCAACATCTTTCACATCAGGCATATGTTCGTAGGGGATACCTCGTTTTAGAAGTATTGCTACTCCGCCACCTCTAGTCGTTCTGTCTTTTCTCAGAATAATGTAATTTGGTGGGACAATTTCGCTATCAAGTATTAAGGGATGTAACCACGTTTCTGTGATTGTAACTATGTGTGTATTAAATTCTAAGAGAAAGGACTCCAATGAATATGCTTTATTTTGAAGACTCCTTGCATTTATATTTACGACTCTAAGGTTAGATGGCAGAATGTGGCTTTCTGTTAGTTTTCGTCGGGAACATCGTTTTTTTCCACGGGAATTATGTCTTCTTTTGTCTCATCCCACGCATAGAGATGCCCATTTATGCGAACCTTATCATATGTTAAGAAAACCTTTTCTCGCTTATCTCGGTTTGCTTTAGTGCGGTCCCAAAGCTTCTTACGTATTTGCTGTACGTGTCGGGAGAAATCTTCACCGATTGAAAAATGTGTTCGCTTCAGTTTGACGCAATTTTTCAGTATATTTGATTTATCTCTACTGTCCAGTAGTTTGAGTATGACTGGACGGATCTTGTTATCAGCCTGTTTCCCGAGGCGGTGAATTCTTTCGATGCCTGCTATTTGTACGTTTAGAATTCTCTCGAGAATTTCACCTACGACCACTCTTTCGAGTGTCTGACTGTTTTCGTTCTCTTGTTCTTTAATTCCGTAGACAATCAGATTCGACCGTCTACTTCGATTTTCTAAGTCGTCTACCTTTCTGGTAATAATTTTAACAGTCGTTTCAAGTTCAGTTATTCTCTCCCGACATGCACTGACGTTCTTTTGAAGCGTACTGAGACTTTCCAGTTTGTGCTCGATCGCAGAAAGTCTGTCATTTGTTATACCCTTTTCATTTTTAATTTCCTGTATGTCCCGGGCGATTTCTTTCAGTTTTTGTAAAATAGCGCCTGTTTCTGGACCAGGGTTGACCTCAACATTCCCGCTCAGCAAAAGTAGCATTCTCAGAGAGAAAAACACATCGCACAACCGCAAGTAACAGGACCGTGGGCACGGCAGCAAAATCAAGCAAACATTATTGCTACGGTAGGACTTGCAAAATCGTTTGCTTACCTGGACGAGAAAGACGAATGGATTGTTAGCCCTCATTGTGACAAGTTAGTGGCGCCCCCCTCCAGTCCGCCCGTCTGCGGCCGCCAGGCTCGGCGGGCAACATTGTTCACCGCACCAATAAACGCCGTTGAGCGCACGCGCTCCGGTCAGTCATCGTCCACCCTCACAACCAGGCTGCGTGTCGTCTCTCCTCGGCGGGTGCTTCGGCCCCTTCGTCCACGTTCGAGAAAGATTGTGACACTGGCAACGAGGAACCGTGGCACTGGAGGCCACCAACGTGCACGGTTCGGCCCACGCCGCCGAGAGAGAGTCGCAACACCGCCCCCCGCTCCTGTCGCCATGCCGCTGTACGGGAGGCTCGAGCCGTTCGAGGGAGATGGGTCCGCCTGGCCAGTCTACGAAGAACAGGTCCACGTGTTCTTCCGGGCGAACGACACGCCCGAGGCGAAACAACGGGACATCTTCTTGGCCAGCTGCGGGACCCGAGTCTTCAGCCTCCTGCTCGACCTCCTCAAGCCGGCCACGCCGCACGTTAAAACGCTGGGTGAGCTGCTCGCCACGCTGCGCTCGCACTTCAGCCCGGCGCCGTCCACGCTTATGGAGCGGTTCCGCTTCAACAACCGGAGCCGCCGGGACGGGGAGACCCTCGGGCAGTTCGTCGCTGCGCTGCGAGGGTTAGCGAGCACCTGCGCCTTCGGCGACCAGTTGGACTCGCTACTCCGGGACCGGTTCGTCTGCGGCATCAACAACCCCGCCATGCAGACGCGATTCCTGGAGCTCCCCGACCCCTCGCTGGACGACGCGGTGAAGGCAGCGCTGGCGATGGAAGCAGCAGCGAAGGACGCCAGCGAGATTGCGCGTGCGGCCTGCTCACCGTCGACGGAAGCGGCGGTGCACAAGATGGCGACAAGGAGCGGTGCCTGCAGCCGCTGCGGTGCTGCCCACTCCCCCTCACAGTGCCAGTTCGTCCACGCACAATGTTTCACGTGCGGGAGAACTGGGCACCTCGCACGTGTCTGCCGAGGGGGGAGGACGAGCGGCGGCCAGCAGCAGCAGCAGCCTGGTTCAAGCCTGGGTTCCAGCCAAGCCCGCGGCCAGGGTGGTCGTCGCAAGAGAACGCGGCGGGGACGAGCGGCACCAGGCCCGGGTCCGTCTTAAGCCAGGGTCCACGTCGTGGCCGACGAGCCGCAGATCTTCGACGTGTGGCATTTGAATAAGCTTATGTCAGTGCCACCTTACTTGGTGTCTGTCAAAATCTGCGGCCACCCCATCACCATGGAGCTGGACACGGGGGCCAGCGTGTCGGTCATGCCCGGGAAGCTGTTCAAGCGGACCTTCCCCGGCGTGTCCATCGAGGCGTCTGACATCATGCTGCGCAGCTACTCCGGGCAGCTTTCCCAGGTCCAGGGTCGGGCCCAAGTCAGCGTTCGCCTTGGCGACAGGGAGGCAATCCTTCCCCTTTACTTAACCAAGGGGTCGTCGCCGACGCTGCTGGGCCGGAACTGGATTCACTCGCTGGGTGTTCGGCTGCCGGAGTACCAAGAAGCTGCGCTGCACGTGGTGAAGGACGTCCCGAGCCTCCTGACCGACTTCCAGTCCCTGTTCCAGCCAGGGGTGGGCACCTTCGCCGGCACGACGGTCGGCATCCACATACCCGAGGGAACCCGGCCTCGGTTCTTCAAGCCGCGCCCGCTGCCGTTTGCCCTGAAGGACGGGGTCACCCAGGAGCTGCAACGGCTGCAGCGAGAGGGAATCCTGGTCCCCGTCAAGTCTTCCGAGTGGGCCGCACCGATAGTTCCAGTCCTCAAGCGAGACGGCCGCGTCAGGATCTGCGGGGACTTCAAGGTCACAATCAACCCCGTCGCTACCGTCGAGAAGTACCCGCTGCCTAGGGTAGAAGATCTCTGGTCGGCTCTGTCCGGGGGACAGAAGTTCACCAAGCTGGACCTTCGAGATGCCTACCAGCAGCTGGTGCTCCAGGATGCCGCCCGGAAGTATGTCACCATTTCAACAACCATGGGACTCTTCCAGTACACGCGCCTACCGTTCGGCGTGGCCTCAGCCCCAGCCATCTTCCAGAGAGAGATAGACAACCTCTTCAGGGGCATGAGGCACGTGGCGGTGTACTTGGACGACATCCTGGTTACCGGTACCGACGACGGGGACCACCTGTAGAACCTGCGCAAAGTCCTGACACGACTACAGGACGCCGGTCTCAAGCTGAGGCTGGACAAGTGCATGCCTGACCCCCAGCGTGGAGTACCTGGGACACATCATCTCCCAGGCTGGCCTGGCCCCGGCACCTCGCAAGATTGAGGCCGTGCTCAAGGCGCCGAAGCCCAAGAGCAAGAAGGAGCTTCAGAGCTACCTCGGCCTCATCAACTTCTACAGGAGGTTCCTGCCCAACCTGTCGACGCATCTGGAGCCGCTGCATCGTCTTTTCGTGACGGTCAGCAGTGGGCCTGGAAGAAGGAGCAGGACTTGGCCTTCCAGCGCAGCAAGGAGCTGGTCGTTAAGGCTCCAGTGCTGGTGCACTTCGACCCGGCCAAGCCTGTGGTCCTCACCGTGGATGCGTCACCGTATGGGGTAGGAGCCGTCATGTCGCACCGGGGTCAGGATGGTCAGGAACGCCCTGTGGCGTTTGCTTCTCGTCGACTACATGCGGCGGAGCAACGCTACAGCCAGCTCGACAAGGAAGGCTTGGCCCTCATCTTCGGGGTCCAGCGCTTCCATCAGTACCTGTGGGGCCGGCAGTTCGAGGCAGTCACGGACCACAAGCCGCTGCTGGGGCTGCTGGGACCTGACAAGGCAGTTCCGGTGCAAGCCTCGCCTCGTGTGGTACACTGGGCCTTGACGCTGGCGGCCTACAGGTACAAGCTGGTCTACCGCCCTGGGAAGGACCTAGGACCTGCCGACGCCCTGAGCCGCCTGCCCCTGCCGGAGGTGCCTGCTGCCGTTCCAGAGCCAGCTGACGTGTTCCCGCTGGAGCGGGCCTACCCGGGGGTGCTCACCAGGACTGCGGTGGCGCAGGCGACCAGCCGGGACCCGGTCCTGTCTCAGGTGGTCAAGGCGGTTTCCCGAGGGGAGGAGCTGAGTCACCAGGCATACAGCCACAAGACCGCCGAGCTGAGCTTGGAGCAAGGCTGCCTGCTGTGGGGTTCCAGGGTGGTGATTCCACAGAGTCTGCGGGCTAATGTGCTGCAGCTGCTGCACGCGGGGCATCCTGGCATTGAAAAGACCAAAATGGTGGCACGGTCGCACGTTTGGTGGCCTGGCCTGGACCAGGACATCGTGCATCAGGTGCAAGGCTGCCAGGTCTGCCAAGAGAACCAGCGAGCCTCGCGCCACTTGGAGATCACCCCCTGGCCGTTCCCACAGAGGCCGTGGTCCCGCTTGCACGTGGACTATGCGGGACCCTTCAAGGGCCACTACTTCCTGGTGGTAGTGGATGCCTTCTCCAAGTGGGTGGAGGCACTGCCAGTCACCAGTCCCTCGGCAAGCACGACCATTGCGGCTCTGCGGCAAGTCTTCGCGGCGCAGGGATTGCCGGACATTATTGTGTCCGACAATGGTCCCGCTTTCGCTAGCGCCGAGTACCTGGACTGGCTGCAGAGGAATGGGATCCGCCGGATGCTGGTTCCGCTGTACCATCCTGCTTCCAATGGTGCAGCCGAACGAGTGGTCCAGACCATCAAGGACAAGCTCAAGAAGAGCCAGCCCGGGGATTTCCGAACGCAGGTGGCCCGGGTACTGTTTCAATACCGGACTACACCTCACGAGGCGCCGTTTTATAGCCCAAAACGGTGATGTCACAGTCGAAGATAAAAGTTCATCAAAAAACGAACGACTGATTCCAGGTTCGAAGATAAGATGCTTGCTGTCGTCCAGCGTCGGTGCAATTCCTCCGATGACGGAAGGGAACGGCGTGTCGCGGCCCGCAGCATCGCTGCCTGCGTTCAGCTTGCTGACGTTGACCGGCACCAGCACAATGTCAAGCAGGATCTGGACGAGAAAGACGAATGGGTTGTTAGCCCTCATGTTGGCAGTGCTGCCGTGCCCAATGTCGTGGAGCGTCTCGCTGCGCCGTTTTATACCCCGAAACGGTGATGTCACAGTCGAAGATAAAAGTTC